TACGAGGAATTCGTAAACTTATTTGTACCTATACACGCATACACACACATACGCACATACACACTATCCCACCACAAGTAATCAGTACACACACACATATACACACATGTAGCCTATACAGTAACATACCCCATGAACTAGGAAAAAAAGCGATCTCATTCTGGATTGAAAAACATCCAGAAATACTACATCCGAGATTCACTAAAGAGTTCATTATCGATAGTATAGACCTAATTCTAAACAATAACACCTTTGAATTTGACAACAAAAACTATATCCAAACCCTAGGTACTGCGATGGGAACAAAAAATGGCACCAACATATGCCACCCTAACATTAGCTTACCTAGAAGAAAACCTCTATGAAAAGATAGAACAAATATATGGGGCAAATATAAAGACCCAATTCACTAAATCTTGGAAAAGATACCTAGATGATTGCTTCATCTTTTGGAAATCATCATGGGGTGATATTAACCAATTCCATACACTACTTCAAAACTTACACCCAAAAATCAAATTCACGCAAGAATATAATTTTAACGAATTACCATTTTTAGATATACTCATTAGAAATAAAAACAACCACATAATCACAGATATCTACCACAAACCCACAGACACCCAACAATACCTTCATTTCAAGAGCCATCACCCAAAAAGCTGCCTAAAATCCATCCCCTATTCCTAGCACGTAGAATTTGTACAATAGTGACTGATAAACATCTCCGAAAAAATCCGCTTAGAAGAACTACATAAAACTCTCAAGAAACGAGGCTACCCCACAACACTAATAAACAAAGGTATTGAACTCGCGAAAGAAATTCCTCTAGACCAACTTAGAAATAAAAGAAACGTAACGTCGAACAAACTCTAGCATATGTCTCAACGTACAACAAAAACAATCCAGAAATATTCCCAGAAATCACAAAAAATCTAGATTTACTTAGCAAGAATAATAAACTGAATAATATACTAAAAACAACCAAAATAATTAAGAGCAAACGCCAATCTAGAAACCTAAAACACATATTAACCTCATCTAAATTTAGCCAACACAAAATACAGGGAGTCACAAAATGCAACAAAAAAGATGTGGGGTTTGTGACATCATTATAGAAGGAAACTCCTACACTTTTGAAAACCCCAAAAAAAACATTCACAATAAATAAAAACTTAAACTGCAACTCCAAAAATTTATGCACTTAAATGCACAAAATGTAAGAAGTCATATATAGGCATCAGCCAACAACTGAACAACAGGGTCTCCCTACACAAAAAGCAATATAAAATTGACAGACAACAGAAAACTTTTGTATCACAACACATTTTCAAATGTAACCAGGGTAAGTTTAATATCATGCCAATATATCAAACAGACAATTACTCGTATCTACAAATACAGGAAAAAACTTTATAGACAAATTCAAACCCGAACTGAATAGATCGTAACCCCCCCACAAAAAAAACACACAACATGCACAGGGTGACCCAATACAATGATCAAATCGCTCACATACATGGACGCACACTCATATACGGGAGACACGAGGAGATATATATATGTATGTACACACATACATACATTTATGTATGTATATGCGGATATTGACAACTTAAGTGTGTGTGTGTGTGTGTGTGTGTGTGTGTGTGTGTGTGTACTGGTTCCATGTAGTTTGGGAAATATGTGTGTATATGTGTGTGTGTACTGATTACTTGTGGTGGGATAGTGTGTATGTGCGTATGTGTGTGTATGCGTGTATAGGTACAAATAAGTTTACGAATTCCTCGTAGTAAGACAATATGTATGGAGGGAAATATACGCACGCATATATACACGCATGCTGACAGGAACACACCAAAATAGAAACAGATCCAAGAGCACATAGGGGTCACTAAAACATTAAAAGATTAAATGCCGATAACTACTCTCGCTGGACAAACCTTAATTGTTTTATGACCCTTCACAAAAAACTCTTCATTGACAATTCTAGAAAGAAAATTCGGATTGCCAACACACAAACAGAGAATGTCTCATATCGAGAACATTTCACATTGAACATGAAGAAAATTAATTATTTTTAATAATATGTAGAAATCTCCACTTTTACCTGAAGACGGTCATGAGACCAGAAAAACACGTGTCGTAGTAAAATTATGTAAAACAAAGCACAATATTTTTTTCTAAATAAATCCACATTACAACCAAAAACGTTTGCGGCACCTCTCTTCTTTTTTAATATACATACTTTTCTCTCGTTGGAACCACTACAACATATTTTTTTTATATATATATATATATATATATATATATATATATATATATATATATATATATATATATATATATATATATATATATATATATATATATATATCTGTATATATATATATATATATATAATATATATATATATATATATATATATATATATATATATATATATATATATATATTAAAATAATAAGAAAGAACAGTAAGATTTATAATCCGGTGTTCTTAGCAGTTATTTTTATTTAAAGAAAAACAAAACAATGCTCGACACAAAACAGTAGAGAAAAATATTATAATATAATATATATATATATATATATATATATATATATATATGTATGTGTGTGTGTGTGTGTTAAATTTCCGATATAGCTAAAATATACCTGTAAAAGGAAAAACATATATAAAGGCAAAAGTGAAACTTATAAAAAAATTCAACGTCATCATTTAGTCACTTTTCCTTTATTAGACATTAATTTAGTTCTCCTTAATTTAACTTGACTTTTCATTAAACCTGATGAATATTCATGAGCGTCAGCTCAGATAATTTCGCCTTTTTTGCCTTTTATTCATATATATATATATATATATATATATATATATATATATATATATATATATATGCAAATGCCGTTTATTTGAAATGCCAACTATAACTTTTAAAATTAATCCTAGTATAATATATAACTGCGCCAACATTGCGATAATCAGATATATTTCTTAAAATTTAAATTATTTAACGGTCAGTCTATACTCAGCACCCGAAGTTTGCATTGTGTATGAAACATCGAGTGGTATTAGCAATGAGACATAATACGTATATTTGTATATTTAATATTTGTATATTTATTAATATATACTTAATAGCTCTGTTTCTGTTGTATTACCACTGTTTTATTAACTATATTTGCGATCTACTTTTACTGTAAACGCATAAAAATTAAATTATTTGATTGTTTGCAACAATATATACTTTATCTGTATTTATCATAGAGATTAAATTTTATTCATATCTTCTTTTTAAACAACTTTAATTATCTTTAGGATTTGCAGGAAGTATAACAGCGAATGATTTGGAAAGGGAAAATGACGAACTGAGTTCGTTACGCTCACCCCCCCAGCTATAGGTTAAATAGCAGGGCTTTGATCTGGAAAAATCATTATCTCTGTTATAACCTAGAAAATAATACTGAATGAGAAATAACATAAATGGGGGTTAGAAATGAAATTGTAATCTTTATAACATCAGCAAAATACAATACACGCCAGCGGCGTGAAGTAGGTAAACCACTGCTAGTGATGGACTAATTAGACACCATAATAACCCCCCCACTTACAATAGTGTCCAACGTATTTATGAAGATTGGAATATACTCATTAGTGTTCATAGGTACGGTATATAAAAATCTCCCAAAAAATGTTAATGCAATTAACTCAAAAAAAAATAAAATAAAAAACAATCATTCTTACTATTCAAATATATTTCGGCTTTAAATAACCGACAAAGGGTTGATAAACCGTAAAAAGCAAAATAATCAATATGCTCATCAATCGTTACGTTTACTTTTGTTTAAATGCCTGTAGAAAGGGCATGAATCCGTCTCTAATCTCCCAGCTATGGGTTAAATAGAAGAGCAGACCGGGATCACTTTCTTGGAGCTGGAAACTAGTCTTGGAGGAGGTAAACTTAATTTAAACCCCAAAAACTGAAGATGGATAAAATCCGTTACACTATCTTGCTTGAGACACCAAACACCTACTATGGCTACAGTACATTTAGTACCCTGCTGGCTTACGGGACTTGTGACAGGGACTTTATTGAAATTAATAGTGTCTTCATTTTTATCTTTGTTCTGAACTGACGAAATTTAAATGACATTTAAGCTAATTTGAAGTCCCGATTAATGGAATCGCAAAAGGCGCAATGGTTATTAGGAATCGAAAATGGAATCGGTGATCATAGATCAAATTCTCTTCGAGGTTGTTTGTATGCCTTTTTGCCTTTTGTTAATGCCTTTGGCAAAGGCATGCATCGACTCTTTTTTTACAGGCGAAATATTAGGGTAGACCGTGTTAACCTATTTAGAAGAAGGAGAACTTGGAATTCAAAACTTGTCCGGAGACGGATGGGCTTCTGCAGGTTACTTTGCTCTAGGCACAACTATTACTGTTTTGAATGCCGTATATGTTATGTCTCAACGATCCAATAATGAGTTACATGACGCAGGGAGGCATAAAGATATGATAAATGTAAGAGTTCTAAGAAAAAAATGTGGGAAATTTCAATAAAAATGTAGACATTTGTTTTAAAAGTTTGAGTAAGATAAATATTTCCAAAACAGAATCTACGATCTGAAATTGGAATGAAAGCAATAATAGGTCCCACACTGAATTCATTTTTGTTTTCTTTCTCTTAGACATTGTTCGTTTTAGGATTTTTTTTTTCCTGTAGGAGTAGATAGTTTAGTCTATCATCTGGTTCCCATTCCTCCTGGTCATTTGAACAGGAGTAGAGGTTTATCCATTGTTTTCAGTTTAGGATTAGGTTTTCACTTCCTTCTAAAGTTTTTGTTTCATCCTTTTTCGCTCCCAGAAGGCCCTTGAGTCTTAGTAGCATTATTGTCTTGCTTAGTGTGAATTGATTAAAAACTATCTTTGTATCTTTCTTTCTTTGGTTCTTCATCGTTATTGTTCCTTTCTTAATTTTTTTGTTTTTTTATTGTTAGTCTTTGTTCTTCTCCCTTGCATAATTTTTTCCATTGTCCTATTTAAAATCTTTCTTTCTTTCTTTCTTTCTTTCTTTCTTTTCTTTCTTTCTTTCTTTCTTTCTTTCTTTCTTTCTTTTCTTTTCTTTCTTTCTTTTTTCTTTCTTTCTTTCTTTTTTTCTTTCTTTCTTTCTTTTTTTCTTTCTTTCTTTTCTTTTTCTTTCTTTCTTTCTTTCTTTTTTCTTTCTTTCTTTTTTCATTTTTTCTTTCTTTCTTTAATTACGTTGTTTCCCTTTTATTCCTTTAATCCCTTTCTTCTTCCTATTCTTTGTTTGTTTATGTCTTTGTTTCTTTCTTTAACTTCTTTCTTTCTTTCTTTCTTTTTCCATCCCTGTAATGACTTTCTGTTTTTTCTCATCCTTTTAATCAGTTCCTTTCTTTCTTTTTTCTTTCTTTCTTTTTTATAGTTTCATTATTTTCGACTTACTTTCATCTTGTTTATTATTGCTTCCTTTATTCCAATTTTTCTTTCTTTCTCTTTGTTTGTTTGTTTCTTTCTTTTATCATCGTCATTATTGCATCTTTTTCTTTTCTCTTTTTCTTCTTTTTACTATTTTTCTCGTTTTGCTTCTTCATCCATTCACATTTCTTTCCATATTACTCTTTTGAATTCATTCTTTCCTTCTTTCTTAGAAATCTAAAACAAATTCTGTCTCTTGCAAACGACATTTGACCTTTTCAAATGATCTTTTCCGTTTTCTTTATCCAATTAAAAAATAAACTTCACTACACTCAATCATTTATTTTTTTTTTCCTCAGCCATTTCTTTCTTTCCCTCTTCTACCTTCCATTTTCTTTCGTCAAAATTTTATTATTCTTTTTTTCCCATCGTCTCCGCCAATATTTCTTTGCATAATTTTAGTCAGAATCTTATCGTTTTTATTTATTTGTCGCTATTATTATTATTATTTCTTGATTTGGGCATAACTTCTACACAACTCAATCCAGTCTTTACTGTTTGTTTGTTTGTTGCTATTTCACTGGAACTTTTCTATTTTTACGCATTGTCTAAGTTTATAGAAATCGGAACATCTCCGGGCAAAATAAACAGTATATGGTTGGACATGTCAGCCAAGAAAGAAAGCGTCGCTGGCAAATCTCCAGTCATCTTATTTATTACGCGAAAAGAAAGTCATAAGCATATGGGGGTTTTCTAATCGTAGCTTAGATGTGGTACAAGGCCGAATTTATGGAGCACCCAGTGAGAATAGAACTCATTCTTCAGTCGTAATCTTCCTACGAAACAAGCTTAATAATGTTCTAAGACTACCTTAGATGTTGTACAAGCTGTAAGTGTGGGGTACCTAGTGAAGACCGAATTCACTATTCAGTTTTAATTGGTCATTCTAGACAAGCTTAATGATTGTCTAAGACTAGCTCAGATTGTGGCAGAAGGCCGAAATTATGGGGCATCCAGTGAAGATCGAACTCATAATTCAGTCTTAATTGATCTAGCTAGTCAAACAATGATTATCTCACAGGTGACATAAGGTCGGAAGCGTGGGGCACCCAGTGAGGATCGAACTCATTATTCATTAATTGATCTAGCTAGTTAAGCTTAATGATTATCTAAGACTATCTCACCTGTAGCATAAGGCCGGAAGTGTGAGACACCCAGTGAGGATCGAACTCATTATTCAGTTTTAATTGATCTTGCTAGACGAAGTTAATGATTTTTCTAAGACTAGCTTAGATGTGGCACAAGACCAAAAGCATATTGCACTTAGTGAGAATTGAACTCACTACTCAATTGCAATTGATCAAGCAAGACAAGCTTGCAATCCACTACACCCCGTCGAAGAGCCCTAAAATCTTTTTCTAAGCGTACCTGATATGTGGCATAAAGCCAACATTATAAAGTTCCCAATGGGGATTGAACTCAGTCCTCAGCCGTAATTACTTTAGCGAGACAAGTTTATTAATCATTACACGACGCCAAAGTGCTCTGAAAAGGACTAAGCGTTTTATGTCTCTCACAAACATATAGACCCATATAGATTTGAAAGAGATGAAAATTCAGAGTTTATTAAAAAAAACAAAAACAAACAAAAAAACAAGCCGCAAAATAGTAATCTCTGATATATAGTAACGTTAATAATAATGATGACAATAAAATAGCCACAAACTAAGATAAATCTTAACACTTGGGAAAATGCTTTCAGGAAGAACGAAGAGAACACTGAAAATCTATGCAATATCTAATCTTCTACATGAAAATAACTGCTGGTACGCGCTAATACCCTTAGGAAAGGTATGAATTCTCTTTCTCTCCCTCCAGCTATGGGTAAATAGCAGGAGAGACTGGGTTCTATAGCCTTCGATGGCAACTGGACTAGTAGAAGGAAAACTCTGAAGTCAAAACCTGCGGAGGATTGTTTGAGGACCTTGTGGCACGTAGTGCACCAGGTCTCTGTATTCAGCCCTTCAATAAGTGTGGTTGGTTCTGCACAAAGCCTTCACCTCTATAATCAAATCATATGTGATGGTGTCTGGTTGTTGCTTCCTAGAAACTAAGCTGCTTGACCCTCATACGTCGAATACAACCATATATATATATATATATATATATATATATATATATATATATATATATATATATACGAAAATGGACAAAAGTCAGACAATTATTTTAAGACATTTTATGTTTATACATTCTATGTATAGATACAAATATTTAAATATTTAATACTATTTATTATAAACAGAGCATTTACTTAAATATTTGTATCTATAAAAAGAATGTATAAACATAAATGTCTTCATATATATATATATATATATATATATATATATATATATATATATATATATATATATATAAATTAAACCTAGAGCCAGACAAATCTACCAAGTTGGTTGGTTTGTCTGGCTCTGTGGGTTTAATTAGGTCTGCTCTACTTACCGTATTGAGCACTTTATTTACTTGTTTTGCGTACTCGTATCGGTTTTTTTTTCTTTGGGCTTTGAATTTGCATGCTGGACGATTATTTTTGGCTAACGTACATGTTCCTGGTTCTTTCTTTTTTATATCTTTTTTCCATTTGGTACTGGTTTGAGTATTTGCAAATCAAGACACCAAAGGTTTTCCGAACGAGTGTAGTTTCTTATACCTATAGGATTACTACTAATATTAACTATATATATATATATATATATATATATATATATGTGTGTGTGTGTGTGATATCGCACATTGAGTGCAGGTGTTAATAAAATAGTACTCGATGTAGAATAACAGAGCTATAAATGATATATTCATAATAAATAATTTTTTTTTCTCGCTGCTAGCGGAACTAGGGATTTTCATTCACAACACAATTTTCCGTTTCTGACTGAAAACGTCACATAAATTTAGATATATACAGTGGGGAGAGACAAATATTCGTACACATACACATTTTTAATTTATTGTATTTCCAACTAATGAATAAACATACTTTTTACATAATTAACTGTTGCATAACAACTAAATATGCAGAAAAAATTGATTTAATAGAAATAAATCTCATTTACCCATTTTAATGAGTGAAAAAAGTATTCGTACAATACAAAAAAGAGATACATAATCTTCCTTTAATACTTTGTAGAATCTCCATTATTCACTTCTACATCAACCAACCTCTTCTTGTAGTTCGCAATTAATGATTTGCAAATTTTAGTTGGTATTTTGTCGCATTCTTCTTCGCGTATAGTCAGAGCTCTTGATTGGATTTGAATTTTCAAATAACGCCATAGATTCCCGATCGGTTTTAAATCTGGGGACTGACTTGGCCATTTCAGGATATTTCCATTATTTTTAGCAAGTCAATTTTTTCGTAGAATTTGATGTGTGCTTAGGATCATTTGGATCTTGTTGGAAGATCCAATCAGGAGGAAGTTCAAGATTTTCAACTGAACTCATCAAATTTTCATCCAAAATATTTTGATTTGCTCTATAATGAATTCTACCATCTATTACTGATATGTTGCCAGTTTCTTTTGCAGAAAAAACATACCTAAACCCTAATGCTGCCACTATCAAATTTCACTTTTGGAACTTTTTTCTTTTGTTTGAAGGCATCGCCATCTTTTACTCCATACATGATTTCTAGAATTACTTCCAAACAACTCACTTTTGGTTTCGTCTGTCCATAGCACTCTTTCCCAATACATTTTTTCCTTATCCTTATGTTCATGAACGAATATCAACCTGGCATCTCTGTATTTTTTCAATGGCAGCGGAGTTTTTCGAGGGGTGGGTAGGTGAATTTAAATGGTTTCAATGAATTTCATTGCTTATTGTCCATTTAGTGACACAGATTTCTGATGAAACCAAAGCATCCTGCAACTCTTGACGAATAACCATTGGATTTTATTAAATTTGACGCATTAATTTCATCGAAGATATTGAAGAAATCTTCTGTGGAGCATCAGTTTTTTTCCACAGTTTTGAGCTTTATATACCTTGCAATAAATGAAGTAATGGTAGTAAATGGAATATTCAGGTTGTCTGAGATTTTCCTGTAACTTTTATCTTCTTTACAGAGCTTAAAACTCAGTTCTTTTTGAAAATTTGTCAATTATTTCCCTCTTGCCATGATAATAACCTTCTTGAATGAATATCAATTTCAGAATGTTCTGTTTGTATTTTTTTTGCGGGGGGGGTTAAAAATAACTGCTGATAACATTATTGGAACATTCTAGAATATTCCACTTGAATAATCTAGTGTATTAAAGCAAGCAAGTTACAAGTTTTAAAATCTGAAATTTGCATTGTTCGAATATTTTTGTGGTTACAGGAAAAACCTAATGGACGAACCGGAAGTTCAATTTACTTTGGAATTGATGAAGACGGCAATTCAATGGTTACCCTTCAATGTCTTTCGAGTGTTTTCATAGCCATAGTTGTGCTTCTGGAACGCCATGTTAGACTATCTTGAAAAGAAGTGTTATTACGGAAATATGCAATCCACTAGCGAATTATGCATCTGAAAATAATTCATATTTATCTGTATCTCACTCATTTAAAACGCTATTTAACCCCTCTCTTGAAAACTTCTCTCTATTAAATTGTAATCCCCTCCTTTACCTTTAGGCCTTCCTGTTCTCCTTTCTTCTATCACTCTCTCTCTACAGCTTTCATACATTTCCCACTCCCACACATACACTCTCACTAAAATTTTGTTTTTTATACCTGGAGTAATATTTTCTAATTTCTTTTTGAATTTGTAGGTCTGATGAATTGGATCGTAATTACGATTTCAGTGTAATAAATTATAACCATGGAATATTAGTGTTTGAGCCTTTTATATTATTCTATCCTCTTGTGAATTTTATATATATATATATATATATATATATATATATATATATATATATATATATATATATATATATATGTGTGCAAATATATAGAAAATAGGAAAAGACCTCGTTAGGTAAATAATCCAATGTTCTTTAGTATTTTTGTTACTATTTTAAAAAATAGTGCTCGATACAAAAGTAGAGCATAAATATAATTATTTATTTAAAAATATGATTCCAACACGCTACATAAGAGTTCTCATGTTTCAAAACAAGATCAATATAATTATTTGAATTAAATTGAATTAAAGTACTAAGCTCTGTTC